TAGAATTTCGGAGCACTCGAAACTTTCTTCCTGTTTCTGCATAACGTGTCATAAACTTACGAGAGCGCCGGAAGTCAAACTTAAACTTGGAATTGCAAAGTGATTTGCTAACTCAAGAGCATGTGTAACCTTCTCATTTTAGCAAATTTGCGATACATCGAATTCGGAAAACTGAATAAGAATTCTCTCTACGGGGAATTTCCGAATGAAGTGCTATAAAAATATAATTACTGAAATTTATTTCAATTTGCTTACTTTATTCGATTATAAAAATAGTTAATAACATAGATTAAGTTTTGGATAATATAAACGATCAGTAAAGCGTTAACGTTTAAAAATTGTTGGAGTTAATTATGATTTCTGTCAACATATATATTTTCTACGTAGGTAACACTTCTACGAACTAGTGCGAACGCTTTCCGGAGTATTTCCTGTTTGCAAATGTCCGAATGCAAGAATAACTTTCTCTTTGAGCTATTCACTGCCCGTATCTTCATCATAGTACACAACAAGCATGACGTAATTTCATAAGTAAAAATTTATGAGCGTTATTTCCCGAGAATCATAATGGTCGAGTTATCTTACCATTTTGTCCAATTTTGGTCGAGAAGAGATAAAATAATATTTGTTAATACTGAAACTATCGGCCTGTAGTATGTGCATGTGTATGTACTCAGATGCATTAGAATAGATAAACTACATAGTCCTATTACTATTACCAAGCAAGTATAATCATGTTTCCATTTGAATAAAACTCATCGTTACTTTGATCTAAAGCACCCGCGTGTTTGTGATAAAATAAAAAGTCTGAGATACATTATTAACTTAATAATTTTATCTTATAAATTCGTATAAAAATTTATATAATCCTTTACAAAAATATTAAAACTTACGAAAAGTCTGAAATACGTCACAGTAATTGAAATACCACTGATATTTTTCCCGAAGCCTGATAGTATCTAAATTTTCCATCTATAAAATTCTATCTATAAAAATTATAACGAACCGAATTCAGTAATTTTATCTTACAAATTTAAATTACAAATTTTCATAGCCCCTCATGAAAACACTAAATGTACCATTTACAAAACCATAATCGTTCAAAATGAATCGACAACATTCAAATTTCCTATTGAAAAAGATATCGACGAACCGATCTCGCAAATTTAATTTACAAATATGTACGGTTCCTTGTAAAAACTCTTCCACTTAGAAATCCACGATCTTTAAAATAAATTGACAGCGTTTGAATTAAATATCCACTAAAAAGACGTATACTCCGGCGATGCCATTAATCAGACACTTGAAAAGCAAGTTAGACGCGCCTATCGCAATTCACTGGAACGGGTTCTTGAAACGCAGCCGATTCTTTCGTCGAATTAAAAGTTGGCTGCTGCAGACGCAACAAGCAGCGCGCGGCACCGCTTTCAATTATTCCTGCTCCGTTCGATGAATGCGTGCCTTAGCGTGTGCGCACGTGCGTACGCTCCACGTCTGTCATTAATAATACAGTTATGCAACGAGGTTCGTGCGCCATGGATATTAGTATCTCGCCGCAATATCGTGCAACGCCTATGAATCGAGCTCGATAAACGCAGCGTTAAAGGTATGCGCTTTGAACGCCGCGCTGCGTGTTAGCGCCCTTAAACGATCGTACGGAACAAGGAATCCTATTATTTTCTGATATGTTGAAAATACTCTGTTACGTTGTTCTCTCTCGTGAATCGTAGAGAGGGCAACTTAATTCGATCGAACGATAGATAAGGTATGTACGTTGATCTGAATGATAAGCTTTGGATAAATTTTATTCCTAATATAGAGATAAATTAAAGAGAAGAAGTTTGAATGATAAATCGTTTTCTTTCTTTAATATTGAATAGTACAACTTAATTCAATCGAATGACAATTAAGGCGATTCGTGTGACTAGACATGGACAAATTCCGTTTGAAATTAATATTCGAAAAATAGTAAATGGAAATAATTGATCATAATTGAAAGACAGTTTGTGAAAAGTAATTTCAGAATCTGCTGTTGTGACGTTCTTTTCTCGTTAATCGTGTTTAGGGCAACGTAATATCAAAGCCACAGATATGATACGTAGATTCGAAACGAAAGTAAGAGGAAAAGGATTATATCTTGAGATAATGAGTGTTTTAACTTTAAAATATTTCACAGATAACACAGAAAGTAATTTCACTTTATGTCAAGATATTAATATCGAATAGTCGGTTCGAATAGCTGGTCTTGCCAAAATTGTTCTTAAAACGATGCACAGATTCTACAAACGAAATAATTAAAATTCTAATTCTGGATGAATATATGCCTTTTTATAATTCCAGATTTTCTTTTAAATAATCCTATTATCCTTCACACTTTTCAGTCCATATGCTTCCGTCCCTCATTTTTCATAACGATCCTCTCGCCTTTTTGGACGAAAATGAAAAATCTACTACGCCTACTGGCGTATCTCGTTAAAACGTTTACTTTCACGTGAGCTCTTCCAAATGAGAATGGCGTCATTAAAGAGAGTTGAATAATTAATTTATCTCGATATGGCGCTTCTTTACGTTAAATAATATATTTCAAGTGCTAACTTTTTTAAATGAATCAATAATTAAATGAAACATGTTATATGTATTTCTTTCATTAATTAGAGGGTATTATATATCTTCAGTAATAAGGATTCATAAATGCGAGAAAGAACGATGCTTTTAAATTGTGCTTCTTCGATCGTAATTATGTTAAAAAACTATTATAAAATTCTCTTCTAAAATAAGATACAAAAATCTTTGTTTTACTTAAATTCGTTCGACTGAATTTATCGTAGGCTTTGATTTATGCGATTGAAAAAGTATCTGATAAAGTCTAGGAGAAACGTGAATAACGTAAAAATCCTATAAATAAAATTAACGATATTCACAATAAATGAAATGGGATTCTCGTAATGACGATACTGGTGTATAATAATAAAATGAATTGCATCTTGAATTTAAATTCATGTATCCAAGACGACCGCAGAAATAATATAGTAAGAAACAATTTTAATACGAATTAAGCCGTCAACATATTCCGATGACCCTATCGAAATGCTGGCTATGATCCAGGCCCATTCATAGCGCCAAAGGAGTTTGATACCGACGAAACAGATTGTGAGGAACGAACAATCAGTGCACTGTTACTGACATGGAGTATTCTCGGAATGCATCTCGTAAATTAGTGCTAAATAGCTTCCCAGCTTTAAATCGTCTGTAGCTATGGACTGAATACAATATTTAAGATAAGGAGCGATATTTTCCACTTTGTAAATAATTTCCAAATGATTTTGTTTACTATCTATAATTTAAAAAACATAACATTTTTACTTGCCAGTCATTACGACAGTGTTATTGTCGTATTGTTATTAATTACTAATAAATGTAATCGCGTATGTTTATATGATCATCCTAATTAATTGTTCAAGAGTTTCTTGCTTTTTTTTTGTTTGCAATTATGGCATTAAAAATGGGAAATTTTTTTGCTCCTGAATATTTGATACGTAGACACCTTCCTAATTAGGGAAAGTAAATATAAAATACAAAAACATCTTTGAAGACTTTTAATAAATAAACGTATTAAAAATAATAAGTACATATATATACAGCTTAAGCGTACAATATTTGAGTGTAAAGTTCAATACACTCTATGACGCAGAATAACTCTCACTCTCAATTCCATTCAGCTATATGTGTATATCTTCCACACACTACATATCTTACGCTTATATATTCTTTCTTTCTTTATTTTATATTCTCTCTCTCTCTTACTCTCTCTCAATCTTCTACTCGTTTCAGACAAATTATATAGACATTACCAAAAGACATTCAATCACATTCAGACAAAAAGCTCGAGCATTTTAATTTCAAGTACTCTCGGTCCTTCATTCCTCTAACACTTGAAACTCATTGTCAGTTATTATAGAGAATTACCTTTTGCCAAATTTCTTTTCCCACGTAATCCAAAGCTACTCGACCTGCAAATCGCACGATATTCAAAATTATACCGCGAACGTTTGTGTAAATTCGCATATTTTAAACACACAGCTGAAAAACTGAAATTTAAACGAAAATCTGTTTCACCAGCTAAATATTATAATCAATCATTCTCTAAATATTATAGCGAATTACTCGCTGGATATTGTAACTAAACTGCGGATATACATATTTGCCAATTTTTTGCGAACACAACTAAAAGAATAAGATATATTCGTTAGGGAGCTGTTATACTTACCAAATACTATAACGTGTAACTGTACTCCGGATATCAATATTTACATTTACTATTTACATATATAAAAACGAATGACCTGACTTCGATTCAACAACGAACAGTCTAATCTCGTGAACCAGGGAACATGAAATTCTAGCTGCATATTGCTCCCATGACGTAAGCAGCCACTAAGATAAGATTTTTCGACATTCATCCCCTAAGGGGATGTGGAAAAGAAGTGGAATGTGTTTTTACGGATTCCTCCATGTCCCTTAAGCTCTATGGGATTCCTAGCTAAGTTTATAAGAAATATAGTTTTATATATTTTTACATATTACCTGCATTCCGCGTATTTTCGCATTCCTAAATTCCTCATAGCTAAATGCATAAAATTCCGCACTCTGATTACGACAAATTGCACATTAAATACTATAACGAGTCATTCGCTAAGCATAACGAATTATTCACGATATATCTTATCACTCACCAAATATTCTGTTTTGAACATTCCACACATTTCTCCCCATTGAATCGCATCCTATCCTCCGCCTTTCAATTTCCCCCTGACAATTTGCTTCTTAATTCACCATCCACTCAATTCCCTCCTAAACACTCAATCCAAATCACCGCAAGAACCGTAAGAAAGAAAAGCCTGTAACGGTTGTTCGCAAGCATTCAGCGTCTCAGCGCCGATATCTATGAACTCTGAACGTCACTGAGCAGCGCGTAAAACGGAATGGCATGATTGTTGCAGGCGAGGAAGTCGTAACCGTGCCTCCGGCGAGCGGAGGTCAGGACAGTTGGAAAGTGCAGAGACTTTCGTTGAGCGGCGAATCGCCCAACAACCGTCGTAAAGGCTGTCGTCCTCAACTGCAGCCGGGCAGCAAACGTACACGGCCGGCGCCCGCTACACCGGCGTTATCCTGCAAGGTCAATGCCAAGGACATCGACGAGTACCTCGACTGGCCGAACAAGGAGAACACGCCCGGAAATGCCGTGAACGCTGCCGAGGGGACGACACAGGCACAGATCGAGAACGACAGTCCCAACATGGGGTCGAATTTGAGTCGACACAATGGAAAGGGCCTCACCGGCCGTAGAACGCAGTCATCGGGAAATTTGTGCGATCCCAAAGGGAAATTGAACAGTATGGGCAAGATACTAATGCCGTGTTCGAGCGCACAGAGAGAGAGGTGAGCATGATATTTTGTAATTTTTGGATTTGGTGTTGAGTAATCGGAGTAATCGGTAATGATTTTATTATTTTCGTTAATATTAATTATTAATAGAGTCTCCTGTTGTATGGGCTTGTTGTTGTTTTATTTTTGTTAAAAAACCTGAATGAAGCTTTCAAAACTTTTAAGGACGGTCTGTATATTCGGTCGATGTCCTGGGATATTTATTGTAGATATTGAACGTACTTTTGTTTGTAAACTAATCCTCTGTTTGATCGTACAACGCGTTCTACTTCAAAATTCTGTGTACTGAATTTTTCTGGTTATATTTACGTTAATGGAATTTAAACTTTTTATCGAAAAGTAGTGAGTCTTTTTTATAGTGTCGAGTGTGTACATGATCTATGTAGGGCGGTTAAGAAAGAACTGAATGTTTTAGAATGATCTAATGTTTATTTAGCTCACATGCAAGGAAGTATAAATAGAATTAAGTTTGCTTATGAAAAAAGATTAAATACATTAAATTCTCTTGAATTTTCTCGGCCTGTTTGCTTAGTTTTTCCAATATTGAACTATGCGCGCACTGCTTTGACGTCAGACATGCTTTTCCCAACAGTCAAATACCGAACCAGTATTCTCAAATTTTCGCATAAAATTGCTATTCACTTCGTCCATTTCTTCCCTTAATGTTTCAAGATTTTGATCTCTTTTATACTCCACTGTTTCACTATGAAAAATCTTTCTTCCGTAGGATAAACATTATTTTAAATAATACATTAATTTTCTGAACAGCTGAAAAGAACTCTCTGTTTAATACCAAAAAATTCTTAAAACTGGCGACAGTGAAACTTATCTCGTTAGAAAATATTTCGATTTAAAACATTCAGCCTTTTTCTTTCCCATTGCAAAAGTTTGTGTATCTTTAAAATAATTGTCGTTTGAAATAGATTTTCTGATAATTTAAAAATGGTTGGATGATAGCGATCGAACAGGATAATTAAGGTTACTGTATCAATTGTCGTAACTAAGTAGTAATTGAGTGCTAATTGAGCTTGTGCTTTAAAGTATTTATTTCTTGAGAGTTTTAGACCAACTTTTTTAACGATTGGCAATTACTACTTTAAACGCTTTCGTATAACAGCTTGTAATTTAATATATTACAACAAATTAACGTTGTAATTTGCAAACAATGTAGCGGAGAATATTTCACCAAGTTCCACGAAAAATTTTTCTGCTTTATAATAAAACAACAAATCCATGGAATTTTGATTGAATTCCTCGTTTGAACTTCAGCTCGCATCAAATATTTATTTACGTCGTTTCAATATTTAAATGCACAAAAAGATATAAATTATTTATGTCATTAGATATATCGTTGATATAATGTTTTAAGCTGAATAAGAATAAAATTCTAATCCTATTACTCGTAAACAACTTTTTAACTACGGAGCAACATATATTTTCCTTAATATAACAATCTACTTTTCGTAAAATATCTAATAAATATGTTTATTTTAATCAATACTAACAAACGCAGTTAAATTAAACAAAAGCGCAAAGAAGTAATCGACGAAGAAGCTACAGACGAATTGATAAAGGAAACTTCTGTATAATTTTCAACCAGTCAACCGAGCGACTTTCGAAAGAATTATAAAATTAATCGAAATAACGTTAACAACGATCATCTTCGGGAATTTATTCGAACAAAAATCTCGGAAAGTACGTACATAGAAATTTTCGGACTCTAAAACGGAGAAAGAAACGCTCGACGAGAGAGTAAGTGATTTTTCGTGTTTCTAATTCGGTCGAGTTCTTCTTACCGTGCCAAGAACAAACAGAATTTAATTTAACGATAAAGTCGGTGGATACAAAAGGTCTGAACGATTGGAGGATATAGAAGGAGAGGAGATCGGTTCGCGATCGATTCTTTCGCAAGATATTCCCAAGCCGCGTTATCGAGCTTAAATGGACTATTGATACACTATTGCCCAAACATGCCAATTCTAATTAATATTCAGTCAATGTTTGCTTTACGTTCAGTCATACAACATGGGTTTAACATGCTCGTCGATTCTGTCTCGATCGTGTTAGCACGAGAAGAACGTGATCGATGAAAACTAATGAAATGTACTTACCGAATATCTTCTTTGTCCACTTTGAAAATCCGGAACGATTCTATTAAATCGTTGCATAATACAATGTCGTTTCTCAACGTGATTTTATTTTTTTGTTTAATCATAAAAAGATCCGACAGTTGTCTTTGCTTGTACACTATTTTGCACGGAAAGCTTCAAATTATTATTTTCTTCGTTAATTTAATAACAGGAATTATATTCTAGCAACGGTATAAAAATCAGCTTCAATTTATTCAGCAGTTTATTGTATTATTTTTCACGTTAAAATTAAAAATAACGAGAATAAAACATTTATGCATTAATCATCATTTATTTGAAAGACTCGGTTTGTTATATCGTTATGAGTTCAATAACGTCAAATAAATATATATGCTCCGGATATAATTACCAATTACCTTTCTTTTCATTCTAACAGTCTTAGCGAAATCGTATTCCAAAGTTAAACGATTACTTTCGATCCCGGTCTACTTTACTCGCAATTGTATTTATTACCTACACTAATTAAACGTTTCAAACGCTAAGTATCTGAAATATTTTACCCTGGTATTCTCGAAAACGTATTTCCGAATTAACTTGATCCTTTTGACAAATTTCTTCATGTACATTCCCGTTACGCCGCGTTCTTCGTGCGCTTCGTATTATCACTTGATCATCCGACATAACTGAATATGCCAGGTTAACGTAGTTAGTTTTTATTGCGTGGAAGAATTTTGTAGGCAGGACAAAAGAGGATTTCACTCGTGCGAAACTACCGAGGCATTCGTTTTGCTCAACTATCTTTACTGCCTCATCTTCTGGATGAATTTAATTACAACGCGCTTCCGCCTACAGTTGTAAACTCTTTTCGAATAATGTAGTTCGCAGTTTAACAGGTACGGAATTTACTGCCTTCGATTCTAGAGTAACCGGTAGAAGGAAACCAGTTCGAAGCGCTTTCTGTTGCGCTTCATTTAAAAAAATGATAGAAACCTATGGATAACTTTCTCGAAGTTTGAATCAATAGTGTAACGATAGAGAAAAACAACTTTATTTGATAATAGATAAATTTAACAAAAAATGGTATTCATCTGCTATCACTTTAGAAATATTGAAAAAGATTAGAATACGACTTGTAGAATAGTCTTTTTTATTGACTTTTTACTGATCTTCTCTCGTCCATGAAAACTAAAGGACAGAGAAAACATATTCATGAAATATCACAAGTGAGACTAGCAAAATATCAGATATTGATAAAATATTTCTTGAAGCAGGTTTAATCTATAGACCGTGAATAAAAAATAAAAGCATAACAGATTGACGTTTACAATTTCAGAAACCACTATAATTGATCATTGACTGGGCTCAGCTGAAATCCTAGATTGAATTTTCTAATTTTTTTGGCTCGATCCATCTCTTTTAAAAGCATTGACAGTTGCAATGTTTGATAAGACATATTTACGTTATCTTGTGCAAAGGTGGAACTAGTAGTAACGTATAATTCAACAGCAAAGAATTTGTCGCGATATAGGATAAAGTATTACGGTAATTTTTCTGTTAGACGTATCATATAATGGGACGACCTTTTTCCAACTGCTATGCGTGGGTTAATCTTGTATATTCCATCTCGATTTTTTGTATTGTGACCTCGTTCTAGAATATTGATGTGTGTCTTTTAATTTCAATTCTTCATTATATGGCAAACACCAGTTAACCCCAGTTACTTTCAACCCCAGTGAACCTTGCTAAACATTGATAATTAGATAACGTGACAAATTTGTTTCGAAAGAAACCATTTCGTTTGTCGACGTGTGACAAAAAATACAGAAACTCGAAGGGGAACTTGTAGAGAGAGGATATTTTATTTAAACAAACTATCTATGTAATTACTAAAATAATATTGATTTCGTAGAATCATGTGGATTTCAACGTGAATTTATGAGAAATTTCTACGAATCTATTTGACAGAAACTGTTATAAAAACAGTTATTTCCATTTTAGAAAATACAACAGAGCAAAAGAAACGGCACACCTATACAAAGAGAGTGTCTTGTTCATATATGGACGATTGGTTGAATAAAGTTTATGAATTTTTCGACTGTTGTTCTTTTCAATTGTGGCAGTTTTGTATAATTTGTAACTAGTTCGATAAAAATATTTTCACTTGTAAAAGAAATTATTTGCAATATCGTATCGAGGCGTGAATTTCAATTCTGATTATAGAGCGGAGAAACACTTAAGCGATAATTTTCAATTATATGGATCGTGATCGTGTAAATCGTGATTTTGTGAAGCGAAATAGCGATAACAGATTAATATATTCATTTTGCGCTTGTAATTATCTCACTGCTCTGCATGAAAATTACAAAATTAATTGCATGTCGATTACTAAACATGAACTATTCGATATTAATGAAGATGAAATTAATGGCTACACGTCAACACTGAATCATCTTCGCATAATTTGCTTTGTATTCAAATCTTGCAGCATTTTCATGTAGCTGGTAAATAATTTTTCAAGAGAATCAGTTACAAATTAAATGCTTCTAAAGATGTAAAAAGTACGTTACCCTTTAAAGATCTTTGATATCATTGCAAATTTGAAACGTCTTTCATTTATAAATAAATATTTCCTTCTCTCGTCTATGAAAACTAAAGAACAACAAAACATATTCGCGAAATATCACAAGTGAGACTAGGAAAATATCAGATACTGATAAAATATTTCCTAAAGCATTTTTAATCTATAGACAAATATTTTCCCGCTGTGAATAAAAAATAAAAATATAAGCGTTCAAGGAATAAAACCAGTGAAATAATACGAGCCGATAAAATATTTTCTAAAGCATTTTTAATATGTAGGCAAATATTTCCCTACGCTTTATACAAATTAAAAAGATAATACAAAATATTCCAAAATTATTCGATAAATTAAAAAATCCATTCAGATCTCATCTGAGAAACTTCTGAAAAATGCTTTTCACCTCGGCTTAAGAAATAGAAATGAAAATGCCCGGAGTCATCCAAATTAGCTACAGAAGAGGATAGTAAATAGTAATAAATCAAGGTTGAATCAAGGGAAACACTACTCATAAACGGAATTAAGCGCGATGCTGTCGTGGATTCCTCGTTACGAGGTAGTGCTCAGCCTTGCTTGAACAACCAACAACCATGGAGTATAATGTGGCATAACAGGTTAGTCGCGAGATAATTTAAAGTCCCTTTAAGGTCGGTCAGTCGCGGAACTGGGGCGGTTTCCATTAAATCCTCGTTTGCACGAAAACGGATGCGAGCTGCGAGGAAACAGGGATGAACAGGGTAAAAAGCAGAGAGACACGGGTTAAAAGGCGCACGAATCTTGATCTCATTTGCGTAAGTGCTGTTGTTCAACATGCTCACGATGCAACAATATCGAACGACGTATGAAAGTACTTTTCTTCTTGACGATTCCTTTATGTGAGAGAACTATTGAAGTGAAAGGAACCTGTAGGAACAGAACCGTATTGTATAGGATATTTTAAATAAAGAAAATACGAGTACAAATGGATCCCATTTATGAAAATGACTATGCTACGTGTTGATTTTAAGATTAATAGGAAATGTTGATGTAAAATATAAAGTACAATATATGTTATATTATTAAAGGATTACTTCGCTTTCTCTGTTACTGAACATTCAAAAATCGTTTGTTAGCAAAGATTAATCTCTAGATCTGTAAACCATACCAATTTCCTTTCTAATCGATTCTAATTTATTCATCCTATTCCGATTTATCCGATATCTGTTACTCAGTGCCCGATACTTTCGAAACGTAACTTACAAATTCTTTAATTAAATTACAAGAACCGACAGCAATCAGATTCCAGAATACAAATCTTCTCATTGACCTGAGAGATCAACGAAACAGCTACGAGTTTAAATAGCCATAGGGAATAATAAACACGACATTGGAATATTAGAGAAACTTGTCACGGGCACGTCATAACGCCAAGTAAAATTATGGTCGATTAGAAATATCTACCCAGTTTTAAACTGTATAATTTGTTCTTGAAAATTCCCAAGGTCTGAACGTGCTCGCGTACGCTTTACAACGGATATATTGTAATATTGGAAATGGTGTCACGTGCAAACGGCGCGAAAGCTTATAACACGTAGTTTGTCGTGAAACCGCTCATCATGTCTGACAAGCTGCGTAACATGTAGACACAATCGTGACGCGAAACGAAACTGAGATTCGCAATTGGTCCCTTTATGAAAATTCTTTTCTACGACTGCACCGTTATAATAATATAGGAGGTTTAATCGTAATTTCGGTCAGAATAGAAAGAATATTGTGACAGATGATAAAAACAGTTCCAAAGAAACAATGTTAAATACAAGTGTAATATACAGGGTGGTTGGTAACTGGTGGTACAAGCGGAAAGGGGGTGATTCTACGCGAAAAAAGAAGTCAAAAATATAGAATAAAAATTTTTCGTTTGAGGCTTTGTTTTCGAGAAAATCGACTTTGAATTTTCGCTCGGTACACCTACATTTTATCGCGTCTCGTTATAACGGATCTCGCTGTAGATCGCTGTTTCGATGGAAAAATTAAAAAAAAAATTAAAAAAAAAATTTTACTGTAATGGTGAATATTTAATACCGTTAAATTTTAGGGGTTAATTCTTCGATGATGGACAAGTTTTACTTAGTATAGAAGGAATATTATGACAGATTGTAAAAATAATAGTTTAGGAAAAATGTTATATGCAGGTGTAGTACATCACAATTATATTACAACTTATTCTTCGTCATTGTTAGCTACTGTTTTAATATTAACATACTAAAGATTAGCGCTATTTGACAATTACAACGAAGTGCATAGGCAATCAATAATCTTATTGATATTACCACTTATTGATTATACCACTAGAGAAGAAACGATTCCTTGCGTATCTTTGATCTTCATTTTAATTAATTCGAACAACGATGGTTCTACTCCATTTTCAAAAATGATCGTTTTGCATTAATGCAAATATGACACACCCGTGCTACGACTATATCTGATAGCATGTGACAGCCACATGCTTTATATGTCACTTGTCAAGATTATGAACTGTTAATATAAATAGAGTGGCGATAATGTCAGAAATTTATCGCGTGACATTTGTCGGTATGTTTATGAGTTACTCTGTTTTACAGACAAATGGAAATTGAAATTTAATACTTATGAAGGATAAAAAATAATGACGTTATGATCGTCAGTATTTTGCGCGTTGATAAAGTTTAAAATTAACTACAAAGTGGCAATGTCTTTATGCATGAATGGATACGACTTTGTGTCGTAATCGGATGAAATTTTCATAAAATTGACAAAATTTAATTAACGTAGAACAATGAATAACAATGAAACATTTCATTCTCTTTCATAAATATTCGAACTTTTATTGTTCTGCGAGAAATTCTGTAAAAAAATATTAAAGATTTTCCGTAGCTTCCTTTATCTGAAATTCACATTAGAATTAATCGATTAATTAATGTGAAATAAAAATATTGTAATGTTATTATTAAAATCAGTCATTTTAAACCGCTATACCCATTGTAATTAAATTAGAAATACAAAAAAGTGATGAATATTTTTAGCCAATTAGGAATTGCTCTATTGGACGATAACATTTTGTTGTAGATGTTTTCTTATGGAAAAGAAAAAAGTATAGCTTTGTCGCCGAATCGAGTCTTCGCTATTCCCACTGTATGTTAAAACGAATCTCGTATGTACACGTACCATCTAACTCAGGAAAGTGAACAAACACCGAACTATGTGAATTATGCAAACATCGACAATGCGTTTTCCTGCAACATACGCTTTTCTTGTTTAGTCTCAGGTTAAATATCATTGTTTGAATTGGATAATTGGTTATTTCATGTTTCACGTAAAGCACGTGAACTATATTTGTAATATGATGCAATATAGGACACGATATACATGTGACAAAATATCTTAAACATAATACGATATTAAAATATATTATTAGTATTATCAAAGCATATTACCGAATATATCTAGATTAAAAAATATGTTCAATATAATACCTCTAATATCCGGAAGTCCCATGAGGAAATAATATTTACATGCAAAATGTAATACTATAGGGATAAATATTACAGAGATAAATATTTGTGTAAAATGACAGGAGTTATTTCAAGTAAAAATTATAAAATAAAAATAATTAAAGTAATAGCTGTATTCGCGTAAATGAAGGAAAACTTTTTCATATCATTCCATTTATTTTGATAAATAAAATCTGCGCCTGGAAACTAAATTTCAAATTTCATACATGTACAGTAGAAAAATTAAATTTTAATTACCGCAATCTTCGTTCATTTTGATAATTTGATTATACGAAATCTCATTTATCTGTTTTCATTTTTAATTCTCTGAATTACCAACATTCCTAATTGCTAACCGCAGCATACAATTTTCGAATAAAACACAAGGTAACTTTTGATAATGATAATTTAAAAATAAAATAACGAAGATCTTCCTACTTCTTTTATGCCTCACGATATACGCATTATTACTTTTGCATGAAAATGTTAATAAAATTCCAATTTCGTTATTTCATCGTCTTTGTTATCATACGAGTCTTATTTTAAATTAATGTTAAATTATTAAATTGGCGTATTTTATTTCATGAAAATTTAGATCGACATTTGAGCCATCTTATGCCTTTTTCGCGAGACATTCAGAACAAGTAACGGCTTCTTTGCAGATATAAATTCTGTGGCTCGTTGCCCAATCATCTAGATGACAAGGACGTGCTGGACGACGATCCAAAGGAAAATAATAACGTAATGACGGATACTATCACCGGGAATCTTGGTGGAACTCTACCACACAAGAAACGATCGTTGGGCGTACATTTTTCAGACGGTGGACCAACTGGAACTCTGGATCTCGTGAAACATCGATCGCAAGATTCTCTCGATGAAAATGATCCTTGGAGGTATGCCATCACTTACTTTTGCACACGATTTTCTTAGCAGTAATGGTATACGCATATAGATCAAATTTAGAGCAAAATATCTATGCCGATTATCGAAGAATATTGAAAACGAAATATTATGTTTCGTTAAAATTGCAGTTGAAACGAGCTGAAATTTGTTGCATACGCTACGGCACCTGTCTCGTAGAGTACTTTAGCGAATTTAAAAATATATGACTAGATTTTACTATAGTTGTTGAAAAGGAGCAATTAGGGTTTCTTATTGGTGTATTGTATGATATATCAAAAGTAATATTTGTGGTTACGCTAGTTCTAGTATATTACAGTTGCGTGTAGAGTTAATTAAAGGAAGAAATTTATGTAGGAATGTTGAATAAATGTAACGATACTATTTAAAATTCTAAAATTAAAGAAACACATTTTGGTTACATTTTTCATTGCAACTAAAATCATATTAAAATGGCAGATATTACGTAAAAGTGGTATCGCAGACCCGTAATGCCAAAATTGCAGCATTTACGCAATTTGCATAATAACTGTGCAACTAGACGAATATTGTAACAACGTGTATAAACGAATGCAAATGGCAAGGTATCTACTTCCTAGCATTTCCGTAAAAACTGACCGATTTTTCGAAAATTTCATGGAACGACATGAAACTTAGATAATAAATCTTTTAATGAAATTTTATCCCATCATATTTAAATTACTTCCTTATTAAACATGAACGTTAAATACAAGAGGATCTTCAGAGAGCTCATTAGAAACATACGAAATACGAAACACTACTTCATTTTTCGTTTTTCGAGAATTTTTCGCTCAATTGACACCACGATACTGTACGAGTTACTCATTCTGAAAAATCAATTTTCTATTATACTAATCCTATAACAAATATCCGACCTTGCAAAACTATATACAACCTATGCAAAGTTTAGCACCTATTTTATATTCGTTAGGTAAAATTCATTTATTATAATAATCTAACGAATGTTCCATCTTATTCGGAAAAGCTAAAAATTAAATCGATGGAAAACTAAGAATAAACCGAACAAAGTAAAGGGAGAAAAGCACGACAGAACCGATCGTCAAGGAAGTTTCTGTGTCATTTAAAAAATTCAAGAATCCTATAATTGTTGCAGGTACCAGCAGAGTGACCTTGACTTGGTGAGGTGTCGCCATGGAAATTTCGACTCCGTGAGAAGAAATCGTAGCGTCGACACGGTATCTGGAGATTCGACAAGAAGGTACACTCGGGACACGTCCCTGGAGGACAGATGTCACCGAAATTCGGATCTCGACTTGGTGGGCACGCTGCCGAAACGGAAGCAGGAAAGTAGAAACGGCGGAAAGGCGTCAGATACGAACTCTTCGACCTCGCAGCCGCGCATCCCTGACGCCACAGATAACGATCTACTGATGCAGATCGTGCATAAGCCTGATTGCGAGTTGGTCAGGCATCGACAACAGTTTAGCAAGTGCATCGATTTGAAGTTGAGCAAACTGGCTGGCGGGGAACCGCAGGATCAAGGTTACGCGTCCGAACGGTCACCCGAGGACGAACATCCGCCCTCGTTGCCTGGACAACCGTTCCCTAATATAACTCCTGGTGAGTTACATTTTCCATTTATGTATATTCAGTGCACGCTGTGGTTTCGTACACTCGCGTCCATAGGTTGCCGGATGTTTCATTTAAATATAATTCTTTGTCGAATTACTGTTTTACAATGTCTAGTCACGTTTGTGATAGAGATGATAGGCTTGATTTAACTATTGATATTGATTGATAAATTACTACGGTGCTATTTGAAAGTGTATAGCGTATAACCACTAAAGCTACCAGCTATCGGATACTTAAGAAATAGCAAAACAAGAGATTGAAATGTATAAGAAATAAATACATAGATTGTATTTCTATAAGAAAATCTTCAAAACATATCATAATTTAGTTTTTCCTAAGACAAGCGATTAATAAATATCAACTTTATCTTGTAATTAGAACGCACTTAAATATGGCAAGTATCAAAATACTTATATACATGGGAGTATACTTTAGGGTAGTGTTTTGTGTGTATACTGATAGTAGAATTAAATCGCGAGCATTGACACTTACGCCGAATGAAAATTACGTTTTAATTTCGATAAAATCTTAATGGGGAGTTGAAAGCTCAAAAATATTCAGTCAGATAAAGATATTTAATTATAAATAAAATAAGGTAGTCTATATAGATTAACAGGCTTATTCTCTTTCGTGCGGGCCGTGTTGGAAATGTTCGATGAATAAAATCTTCATTTCGTAAATCAGTGTCATGTTTTAAAATGTAAATAAAATACGAGATACTGAATATAATACAACGCAACGAATTAAAACTGGATATGTACAATATATGGCGAAAATATTTTGATACATTTCGATGATAAATAGTTTTGAAATAAAAGTAGTATATGCAGAATATATTATATACGCTTTTCAATTCCAGATTCATTAGTGAACAAACGAATTATTTTAGAATTCTTTATAAATGTACCTGATATTAGAAAAAAGTGAAACCGTTGAACGTAAATTATTCGTTGTATTTCTATAAATGGGGAATTGTTTATAGCTTGAAAAATAAAACTCAGACATTCTTATGCATGAATTTTCCTCATCGTCTTGATATCTGGGATACAAATATCGCCTACTTTTCTCTAACATCCAGTGTATTTACAAGATTTTAATAAAATTAATCGGCGATATGTTAAAATTGAAATTTGTAAATTATCAGACGATTTATGACACAATGATGCGCTATATTTAATTACATCTAAAAGAAACTGTTACTACAAAAATGGCAGAGGTTTCTGCGAAAATCACAATTCAATTCATTCAATCACAATTAGAATTCGAAGTAGAAATTATAATTCCGTGATCGGAACAAAGTAGTTCACGTTCGTTGCAATGTCTAAGCTGTAAACGAAACGAGCAACATTCGAAGTACTAAACGCAAACGTATTTTTACGTTTATTACTCTAGTTTTCTCTCGATATTCTTTTCCTTGTGAAATTTATCTCGTACACCGTTTGCGATTTCTTCCGTACTAATCGTTTCAAAACTTCTTCCGCTCTGTTTCGTTTCTCCTTTTTCTCCCTCTTTCCTCGCCACCCACCGCGATTATTTGGTTTCTTCGTTGTTCCTTTTCTTTTCCACACCGCTCAAACCAAGCTGCCTTTAATATCGTTTCGTTACGATGTATCCACCCCCTTTACTACTTTTCTCCACTTACGTTTCAGCATTCATTTTTACGTATCTTTCAAATAATTCCTTATCTCTCCTCGAGATCACTCTGTAATTTTCCTTCCTTCGCCTTTGCCCCGGTTTTCTTCTATTCATAGTATTATTCGACTTCTTTTCGTGAAACTTCTTTCATCCCCTTTCCCATTGGCAGGCTTCCCTTTACCGTTGTTCGATAACTTTGTTGGCTTTCCAATCTGTTTGCTGAATCCCTCTTCCCGTCACTTTTTCCCTCCCTTCTCTCCCTCCCGTCTTCCATATCGTTTTCTAATTCCAACGCGTGTATCATCCCCCATTTTTCTTCTCTGATTCGTAATCGACGGTTAACGTAATGGCAACGTGCAAATGAAGAATAATGTCGTATTATCGGAGTCTTATTTTCGGTGTTTTGTGTATTTTGAAGTATTACCGTAGATGAGGGAGAGATTAATGAATATAGAGGATGAGTTTCATCTTCTTAGGAAGGGAACTGTCTTTTAGAGAATTTTTGTTGATAGTAAGAGATTAAACAATTTAGATATCGGTGGTAGATGATTTAAAAACTACGTGTCTTTCCTGGAACATAATTATTACAAGAATAAATAATTTACAAATTTTTTTATGTCCTATCAAAATATACCCTTTAATTATTTCAATTATTTTAATTATATTTTCTTATATGTATAAAGTAATCATTTTACTATTGCCATTTGATTGCCTATGGGACTCCGAGATTTATTATTAAGGAGAACTTAATAATTCATAAAATTTGTCTAATAACAAATGTATTTTATATCACACAATAAGTTGTAGCAGGAAGCAAAGTTAAAATAATTAGTAGGATGTAATGTAAATTAATCGTCAAGTTTAAATCAGCAAAACAGTTTACATGTTTTACGTTAACTAAAATGTCAAATACTCAAAAGCTTTGTAAATAACCTAACGGATCAATCTTCGTCATAAAACCATTTACACCTCGAATCACCAGGTAATAATCACCTCTTTCTCGAATTTACCTGTGTCATTATATTCATATTCGCAGCAAACACGATTCCCAACTCATTAAAGTTTCCAGGAACATTTTCTGCTAACACGATTGAAATCCACGTTCAATCACGACCATACGTTCGCTGATTTTTCTACCAGCTACAGCTTAACGAGTACAACCAGCAGGCGTAGATGACACACCTTGTGAGTTTATATACTTTTAATTAAGAATTAACCTGACGCAACGTACTCCACAAATTTTCGGACTTAATTTTGCGAGAAGGATGAACAAATTTTATCTTGCTTTTTCGACTTATTTTCGCGTACAAAGCAACCTTCTGCCAATTGTGCGCTCCTATCTAATTGAAAATTAGAAATTACAGAGCATAATATATAATCGAGAATTGTCAAATACACGTGTAATTGACAAACTTTCAGCCACGATAGCCTCGAAGATAAAGCCTTCGACGCAATTTTCCTGTTCTTGATTTTCGTCTTATTTTCAGTCATAAAATCTCAGCATGCGACAATGTATGAAAAATCCGATGAACCAACTCCCATTAAGTACAGTTCTTACCGAAATGTAAAAACTATGACATTATGAGAAGAACAATCGACTTGCCAAACGATATGAACAGTATATCAAGTTCAGATGAGAATTGAACAAATTTCTTAGATTAGCTGAAGAAGGTTTGTCTTTTAGAAACTGTAAGAACCGTTTTATTTCTTTTTTCTTATTTTAGGGTGGTCTTGGGATTACTTGGAATGTTGTTTTGTTGCCTTTCATTCTGAAATTTTGCTCATTCATTTGGTAGATGTTCTACAGTGATTCTTATGCAACAAATGTTACACTTCTCCGGTTCTTCTTTTGCGATTACGTGAACATTGACAAAGTACCATATCGTGTTCTTAGCCTGGTGAGTATCGACTGATGTTCCCTATCCAAAAATCTCTGTCACTTTGTTTATATGCGAAAGCATTTTAGCCTCGCAGTGTATATCTATCTACAATAGTAAATTTCATTGCATCAAAACCTTCATTGGAAACCGTCTCTCTGTCGGTTTTTTCTTCTCCATCCAACGGTTGCTGACTCCTTAGTTCTATCATTCTCCAACACTCGCGGGCATTTTATCGTCTATCCTGCGTCACATTAAGTGGAATAAAGGTAGAAACACAATGGTCGGAGTAAGGACGAAGGGAGGGACCAAGCTTGACACACTTTTGTCGGATGAATTTCACGGATAAGACGCGCCAGGTATCTTCTGGGAGTCCTTTGTCGCTGATAGACGGCGAAGTGCGCGTCAAATTCAAAGCTCTTTGTCGCGGATAGCAACGTGCCAGTTCAAATGAATACGACCACCAACGCTCTATGCCTTTCTCCCTCTTTCAACGACTTCGTGGCTATCCATCTTCAATTTTTCATCGGTAATCTGTTTCCAATGGAGGCAGATACTTTACCCGTTTGAAAGCGCAATAACGTTTAGCTCGCGAGAATTTGCTCGGATTTTATTCTAGCGGCTTTCTTTCTCGTTCTTTGGATCTTAGAATTAGTCTCGCTCATCATTGCACGTGGACATTTGGAAATATTTCTGTGAATACAAACAAAGAAATGTAACCTAAATAGAAGCTTAAATAAAAAGAAAAATTATAGATATCGTTGGTTTTTTTTTTTTTAGAGAAACGACACAATTAGAAATACAATCAGCGACACTAATTTTTCAAGAACAATTGTCAATAACACGATCAATAAATTCGTTTACTGTCACGAGTTAGATAATAATCATCGTCAGGGCATCATTCTTAGAGCCTCTGATAAATAAACTGTAAATGTTTATCCAAATGTTATTTTTATGAGCTCTAAAGAAATATAGTTGTAGCACGAATATGTTCCAAATTAATATTTCTTTTTTGTAAGTTTAGCGTCGTGTTATTGTTCGTGATTATTAGCGACACCTTCGATATTTCAGATTTTATTTATTAGACTGGTTTGTTTGAGGAATTCTATCGTCGTCTTTGTGTTATTCTTCTCTGATTTCTGATATTTTCTGCGATGGATAGTTACGTGTTATAACTCGTGAAACGTGCATTATGTATCTCTCGAGAGAAAAGCAAGAAATTACAGAAAATTTTTGATCAATGGGTAAGATTGGCACGTTAAGTATAAATTTCATGAATAAATTTCCAATTAGTTCCAACGTTTGAACAATTTTGTACCGTGGCACAAAGACGTTTCTCCCACATCTGATATCTCATTTTGTATGCTCTAAACAACGCAGGTAGAGATTGAAGTGTAGGCGGCTAAGTGGGTGGTGGTGTAGCATGGCGTTGACATAACAGGCTTGCGGGAAATATATCGAGGCGCGGACCGTGCA